TTATGCTTTGACATTTTTAATACCAATAAAAATTTTGTGCTCAAAATGTAGTTGGGGATATTCTATCGAATATTATGAATTTAAAAGTGTTCCAATCTTATTCGACATCCCCAAGTGGCACAAAATTTACTGAACATTCCACTTAGACATATCTATGCCGAAGCGATAGTGCTTTGAGGCCCTTGCTGTTCCCCCAACCTGACTTGGAATGGGGAGGATACACACAACATCACCGACCGCTACACTTGCCAAATCCTCATCATCAGGAAATACGAATGCTGGCCTTGTTACTTTTGAAAGGATTTTTTGCATGAAAGTTACATCCAAATCGTTATCATCATCAATATCAATCACTTTTCCAACATAGTAAACCTCGTCACCCAAGCGATTGGCCTTGAATTTTACCAAGACGTAATCACCCACACTTGGATTCACTGCCTCTTCTTCATCATCACTGCTTGAGTTTTCAATCAGTGGAGTGGGCAAATATTCAATCGACAGCCTCCTATTGGAAGCACATTGGTGAGGACCTGTTTTACTAAGTTTAGCAATTATCGCATCTTTTTCAGGCGTATCTGTGAGGATGCGTGTTTTTGCCCCTCTATTAGATCGCTTTTTCTTTCTTGTCCTGCTTTCTTGAAAGGTCGCAGATCTTTCGGAGATAAATATCCACCTTGTGCACTCGTTGTTGGCAAATCTGCATCACTGGGAGAAGCTGGAGACAGCTCAAAACTTTTATCTGCTTGTGCTACATCATCACTGCCAGAAAAATCCTGCTGAATGTCTCTGGCCGATCCGTCACATATGAACAGAGGAAATCTTCATCTTTAAAAACATTTTGTTGAGAGGAAAATCCCACATGATAAAAATCCAGACACAATGTTCGCAGGAGTGAACGCTTTACCATATGCTAAGGAGGCTATACCTGGAATATCATATATAGAAATTGTTTGACCGGGATGTGCACCAAGCCAGGAGTCAACACCAGTATTATAGTACGCTTTTAGAGGCCCATATACTGTCTTATCCAGAGGCCTGAAGTTTTTGGCTACAGTGTGGAGGCAAAGTGAGCAAAACTATTCCATTCTGTTTAGAAAATTCTACAGATTCGATTGAAATGTGACTGTTGTGGTTGTCCATGAGAAGCAGGACAGGATTGGATTTTGAGCAATTCGAATGTGTAAGAAAATGCTTCAGCCAGCCTAGAAAAATTGTGCTATTGACCCAGCCTGTCTTGTATGCAAAACCCACTGACCCAGTCGGAGCCCCTATCATCATATGTGATTTAAAATTAACCCTGGGAAAAATAAATGCGGGTGGAACAGAGTTCCCAATGGCATTGATACAGCCAATCATGGTCACGAGCGTTCCTCTTTCTGCAAGATGTCACTTGACCCACTTGTTTCCGGCCCTTTTCTGCAATAACTCTGCAGGGTTTCTGCACTGTTGTAAGGCCTGTTTCATCTACATTAAAAATACGCTCAGCTGGGAATGCATGCCTTTTCATGACTGTTTCGAGATTTTCAAAAAATCGTCAACATTTTTTCTATTAAAACTTGTTGCCCTAGAAAGACTTGTAGACTCAGGTTGGCGAAGCGTTAGCTTGGTACGCCTTGTCAAAAAAACCTCTAAGCCAATCAGGCCCTGCTCTCGTATTTCCTTCTCTAACCCATGATGCAGGGACCCTTTTACATTTCTTGACCGCGAATTGCCAAGCTAGCTCCAGAACATCTTTCCTGGCCAATCCGTAATGATGCTCGACGCCTCAATCAAATATTCCTCCAATTCTTCTTCTTCACAATCTGTAAAAATCCTCCTCACAGCATAATTTGGCTCAAAATCCTTGATGTTAAGCATACATGTTGAACTGCCTTCCTCTCTGGAAATTTTACATTTTCTAACGTATCTCAAAAGAGTAGACTTTGGGATATTATAGGTGCTAGCTGTTGCTCTCATACTTTTACCTTTGTAAGCCACATCTTCTGCTGCCTGCTTCATTACTTCGGGGTCAATCAGACCCATAGTAGTTTTTCTGGCTCTTTTACGAGGCATTTCCAACTGCTAAACTGAGGTACCGTAAGATCTGATATGACTACAATTTTCTGAGAAACGTAAAAAAATACAATGATCTTGTAGTTTAGACCCATACCAGCATACGGTACCGCCCTATGCAAGATCTGAAGATTATAAAAATACTAGACATATGGTATCTAGCCTATGGTATTGTTACCGTACCGTACCAGTCTGGCAGTACCGGTACTGCGGTAACTTCATTGCTAAGTAAACTACTCTATTGTTTCAATTCCCAAGGACTCCAAGCAACTAATTGATAAAACACTCCCAAATGGGGCACCATGAACCATGTCCCACTGAACCCCGGGTTCATTGTTCCCCATAACCACTAAACATTTTCAGACTGCTCTATGTCAAGATTAGTAAGGCACACCAATCCGCCAACGTTATGAATATTCCACAGATGACTTTATCCAAAAGTAGCCCTGCAGTGGTTTGTCCTGTTTGAAAGGTTAGAGTAGAAAAAAGAAAAAACCGAGATGCCAAAATTTTACTTTCAACCCACCAAAACCAACTTCGCCCTATAGCTCGAATCGCTCTGCATATCCAGTGTCTGTTTTCAGGGACGTAATGTCTCACCGAAAGGCCGTGTTAGACGTCGTAACGCATGGCTGATTCCGGATATAGTATGAGTGTGAGAGCTGATTTTTCACTGTGCCCCATGTCCCAACGTGGCCCACCTTCCCCTAGTCATGTATATTCCTCCTCAGATTCTAACCAACCGCAAAAATGAGTAAAATTTCTTTGCATACACGATCAATATTGACCTCAATCCGATACTTAATTAACTTCCTTTTCCATTCCATTTTTCAATATCATCAAATTAAAGCTCTGGGCTCTGAGTTTTATAACCCACTTAGCCATGTTCAAAAGAAAGTTCTAAATATCATCAAAATATAGCTGTGTGCTAGTTGTTACTCGACTTCCAGCACTGCTCTCCACACTTGAATAAAAATGACTTATGCTTAGACCTAGTTAATAAAATAATAATGCACCTGTGGCTTCCAACAGAAGGTCTCCAAAATGAATTCTGTAGACTTTACAGATGCCTGTTGAATGATTGAAATCCGTTGTACAACCTGTTAAGATTGCTTCGGCAGCCTAGAATGTAAAAAAATAAAACAACTCCTATTCTATAGATTTGCACCAATGAGATGATTTAAAAATAAGGTTCCAGTTGAATGGTGGTGGTATCAATATAAAGTACTACTAGTAGTAAATGTTTACTCACAAATATAAATGAAAATTTAAAGATCTACCGTAATGAGCCTGTGTGCATCCTTATCAGTTTAATAATACCACTATAAAACAAATTGGACCCGATGTACCTTCACAACAAAAATTCCACAATTAAACCCATCTTCTTGTTCACTATGCTTGTTTGTTAACAGTCTCCAATCTCTTTGTTCACCTCCATGGTATTTCCAAAATTTCCTGGGAGAAAACGTAAAAAAAGAACAGCCCTGATTAGTCCCACAACACATAGGAACAATTTCATTTCTAGATCCTTAACTTTTTTTTTGAAGTGTTCTAGGAACTGCATATTCTTGCTGATATGAGCTTTCATACCTAGCTTGCAATCTCAGTGCAAAAAACTCGTACGATCCATACAGTTTCGGTAATCTGTTTTTGATGTTTTAAAATTCAGATAACACTAGTAGAGATTTGAATGCATGACTAAAACATTGATGTTCTATCGTTGAACTCAATAAGGGCATGATAATTTAAAATGAATCTGTGAGTGTTTACAAGCCAATAATCATTTAGTCAAGCAGAAAACCACAAACCTCCGATTCTCCATCAGCGTTTCAGCATAACTCTCTTCATGGCCAACAGGGTCATAATAGTGACACTCCCTTGAGATGGATCTGTAATCTGAAAACATGTGAACTTTGTTCACAAGAGTAGAAGAATTTCTGGGTTTGAAAGAGCGAATACAATACAGAATATGCCATATTTGTTTTGACGTATATATTGAAACATTTTGTAATTGCATTTGAAGAAGAAAATTTTCCAAAAGAATTTCATTTAAATTAACAAAGATCTAGCAATTTACCTACCATTAGAGTCCAGTGATTGCCATGGTTCACAGCACTCATAGTTGGTTTTCAATAGTCAACTTGGCCTGGATGTAAATAGGATGGTAACGAAAGCGAATAAACGATGATCAAAATAATAAACATGTTATTTTACCAAACTTTTGTACTTTCGACGATAAATCCCCTCCCAAAACCACATTGGGAATATAATGCAGACAGAGCGCTATATTTGAGTAATGACTGGTCCACTAAAAACAAGTTGATTTAGAAAGATTTAACATAATAATAAACTGAGTCACTGATAAGAAATTTCGGACTGAAATATAATTTATGGAGATGTCACAGTTCCACATGGAATACAGAGATGAACAATACTAAAAGACATACCTTATGACAAAAGAGCTGCAATTATTCCATCTATTATCTTCAGCAAAGTTGGTAGCATTTGAAATAGAAAATAATTATGAAAACTATAAGTTCAATTTTATAAACAATCTTACACAAACTAGAAATGATGTTACATTCTGATGGTAATACTCCTGTATAAATTAGTACTTGTGTACATGCATAACATCTGAGTGATTTCCAAAACTATCAACATGTTTGTACAGTTCCTTTGTTATGTACACACTGAGTTTCTTAACAGCTAAAAATCATTTTATATAAATATTCGTTCAAAATGTTTCCTCGGATATTACTTCTATTGGCAGGGTTAGCGCTGCTGCTGAATTTCCTTGCAAGACAAAGATTAATTTCTGTTCAATGGTTAACCTAATCTATGGCTAATCCCCATTGAAAATTTGAATCTTTATTTTATCGCGAATGTATAGATTGTTTCTCTCACTTAGGCCCTTCAAGTGACGGGGTTAAACACACATAAACTCTACAACGGGTGGAACAAATTCGATGAACACTTTTAAAGGAATTTTCACGTTCTATTTTCTCACTTTATCATCAAGATAGCTGTCACCCTCAAGAAGGCACATACACTCCTTGTCTAGCCCTTTCTTTGTATCTCCAACTACACACTCAATCCTATTCCTATGAGTTGACTTCCATAATTTCTGTATGTCTGAAGATAATATTATGCATAGCATTATCAGTAACACGTAATTGCAACGCTATGACTGATAACAAAACTGAATCATTCATTGAATAATAACGCCTCATAATAACCTCATAAAATCAAAGTATTGTCATATAGAAGGAGATCAGCTATTGCTCAAAAAACTATCATTCAGACAATTACCAAAATATATCAAATTTTAAAGAAAAATTTAATACAATGAATATTATAAAATTTACCATTAAATTTGGCAGGCAGAAAAAGACATTTTCTTGATTCATCACTATCTGAAAAATGTAAATGAATAATTAGAGATAAGTATCATACCAAGACATCTTAACGATAAACCAAGTAACTCCCACCTTTATTCTCGGAGTCATAAATATTACCATCACTGCATGAAGTTGATTTCATTTTTGCTGAACTGCAATGAAAAGTTTGACCCATAAGTATGAAGATAAAGTAAGAAAGACTGAAAATTGTGGATGACATTTTAATAGAAATATGAACTTCTTTGAAGGCTTCAGCATATTATGAGATTGAAGAATGTACCATATAAAGCATCGTTAAATATTCATTTTAATCATTACATCGTTGAAACACATGGTATACTCATCCTCTAAGTGCAAATACTTACCAAAATGTCTGATCTTCTTGATATTGTGACACTGTTCCAGTAGTCATTCCACTCTGCTTTAATAGGAAGTAGGAATTTGAAAAAAATATGACACAATAAATTAACTTTGCGAAGCTTTCTTCGAACACAATTATCTGACCGAAACTCGTTTATTTCGTTATAATAAATAATGCAGAATGAAATTCTTGAATTTACAAGTTAATTAAAACAATACAATGAAATATGAGCGCAATAAAGTGGAATAGGGGGGAATGTTTGTTTCACCTATTATAGTTTGTCAGGCCAGACTCCTGATGTCAAATAACATGATAAAACTCACTCATAGTGAACATCGTACTATTTCAGTTTTGTGGAAAAATCTCAACCGTGACGCAGGCCGAAAAATTGCCTCATGGCAGCGTTTTGGAGACTCCTGGCATAGATAATTTGATCAATACCATCATGCAAAAAATTCATAACTCCACATATCAAACTCGATACAATGCATTATAATACAAAAGCGGTAAGAGCAAGAAAAAAATTATCTCACTATATTTTCAGAGTACACATTGTCTTCAGGGTTGGCAACTACCTCATTCATAGCTTCATCATCTTCGTCGATGAGTAATTCTTCCTAAATTTTCAAACCTCAGGAAATATAATCGATGTAGGTAGGTAGTAGCATGAATTATAAGACACATATAATAGAATTCTGTTTAATTCCTTCCTAAATCTTATATTAGAAAAAAGCATTCCATAGTATAACTAAGAAATTGCTACAATTCATTTACAGGTTTGTACATTTACGATAACTCGAAAGAATGGGATAACATAAAGCCATTAACATTTTAAAGATATCTTTTATACTTGATTAATGATATTGTCGGAAACCGCAAAAGCAGACCTTTATAAATCGTAAATGTCTTATTCTACTTTTATTTTACAATACTATGCATTCACATGAAAACAAATTTAATAATACATGCATACCTCTGTGACCGATCCACTGGTTCCATCCAAAACGTTACCTAAAATGAGGTGTGTAGTGAGAAAATATATCCACATTACTCAATAACATGAAAATCATGTACCTTTAACATCTGGTATAGCAATTCCTTCATGATTCCTCCGAATTTTATTTCCAAATTGAGTCTTCATTTTTTTTTCATATCTTGAGTTTATGTCTTTATTACGCAGGTTAATGCTAACTCGCGAAAGCCAAAGGAAATTGGTAGTGTCCATAGAGCAAACTGAAGATCTACAAGTAAGGTTGTAAAGCATTTTACCAAACATATTCGCACAGCATGAACTCTTAAAACATGTCAATATTCAAGCGATTCATCTCAGTAAAATATCAATTTCCAACTATCTTGAGTTTTTTTATACGTGTCATAGCATCAAATTAATTTTCTGCCTATTAACATTAAATGGTCATGCTTTATTGCCTCAAAATAATCGACAATGTACATCACAACATGAGTTAAATAGTAATATGATCCATCTACCATTAACAATATCTTTTCAATAAGCAAACTATCAATACATCCTCGATTGAAGCATTTGTGTAATAATGGCCAATCACTGAATAGTATGAAAAATGTCAAATACGACATGCCACAATTGGTATCTGAACTGGAGAAATTTCCCATCTAGCAAACAAACAAACCCTCTGGACAAAAAATTGGTTTGTTGAAAGATATTCCTCGAAAACCTCAGTCATCAGTTTTCTAAATATTGTGCATTGATTTAGGTCACATATACAACAGTGTTTCGGAAGCTCTTGTACTGTCATTTCGAGGCCACCATACCCTGGTTCACTTCACAATATAAATATATTAAAAAAAAGAGGGGTGGTTGAATAAGATGGAAGCTTGCCTATCTTTTGCCATGTGAGCATTTTCCTGCTCTGCCACACTGGTATTTATGTTCAAATCAGAGCAGTACTTCAAGTTGCGAAAAGAATTTTCTGCGGTCTTTTTCTTCGATCTTGTATGGAACCTATCACAGAGGCTGTATTTTTTATGAGCATCCAGTTTAACCTGTGGTAGAGAGCCATGTTTTTCCAATTCAAGATTTTTGTCAGTATATGCAAACAGCATTCCTTTATCAGGCCCAAAAATACCCCTTTTTCTAGCCTCGCCATGATGGGCTACCTGAAAACAGATAATAGTGTTTGAAGAGTATTCTGACCAAAGTTGGAGGAATGAACAAAACATATTAATATAAGTGAAATGATCTCTTTCAACGAAACAGTAAGTATATTTGTGAGCTTTCGTTAGATCATGGTCTAACTTCTTCAAACAATACAAGAGATAACTTAATCGAATAGCGCATATTCGGAGTACCACATACGGATCCGAAGTAGTAAGTAAACAAGAAGAAAGGACCTGCAGTTCAATACACAGTATCAAAGTTCCATTATTTGTGAATACTTTTGTATATCAAATATAGAATATTTAAAAATATGTATATCCACAGTGACTTAAACTAAAAAGAACTCACTTGGGAAGCAATGTCAGATATTATAGCATGAGGTTGTCTCTTCAGGGACAATATTCCGTCAATATAATCTCTAGCACTTTCCTGTCTTAGAAGATATTTCATATAATAGCATATCCCATGTGGGCAACGAAAATGTACAATCCCTCCTAAAAAATAATGATGAAAATCTCTTTCAAGCCATTTGATCATGCAGCAAAATCCCAAAACATTGTCAGCTGCACAAGATATAAATAAGAGCAAGTTATTCATTCCTCTTTAGTATTACATTGTAATAAATCATAGCGATAATGTAGAAAAGATAAATACAGCAAAAATGCAACCATTGACATTAGACCTAAGTAAGATAAACATTTCTTTAATAAAACAATAATACCAACCACCGCAATGTTTTATGCTTTTGTACATCTTAGGGCATACATCCTTAAACAGAACCAGCTCATTCAAAGTATTAACAAGGTCTTCTGAACTCCCTTTGCTACTTATACCCAAGACTTCACACAAGTCTATCAAACGAGAATCAGATGTCTGCAAAATAAGAGCAATTGCCTCAAATAATAGTTTTTAAATATATAGCTATAGTTTTAAAAATATATATCTGTACAGTATAAACACCAAAATTAAAACAAAAACTATTGTAATTATTGCAGTGTCAAATTTTTGTTTTTAAATCGAGGCATTTGGTCATTTTTGACTATTTGTGAGACAAAAAGGTAGAAAAAAGTATGCCTACAAGAGGAGAGTTTATAGCTTGAAGAATATCTTCATGAGAGACTTTGGAGTAGGCTAGAGGCTTTTCAACAACTGGCTTGTTAAGAATAAATCCTTTCCTATGCTCTGTATTTGGGACTTCACTTGAAAATCGGCATTCTGGAGATATCCAAGGTGCAACTGTGTTGTACATTATTTCCACTTTCCATGGATTCTCCTTACAGCCTGGTTATTATAAGGTTGAGATCAGTGAACTGGATACATAAACTAATACAGAAACTATCAAATAACATGTGAAACGTGAACAAAAGCAAAGAAAAATTTAAAATAAAAGCTAGGTAAAAACCAAATAAAGTTAATCAATAATTTTAGTGTCAAATTTCCATAATTATGATAAACTAGGCCACTTGAATGTTTTTAAACAAAACAACGTGGTATTGATACTGTCGGATTGTCCACGAGATAGATCTGTACGCATAATTCAAGTAAGTAAATGTATTCCTGACCATAAAATCCTCTTCCTATAATTTCCATCTGATATTTTTCCCAAGTTGCGTCTACATCAATGAGGTCACAAGTATTTTGGGTTTTGTCAACGGCTTCAACTGTATGTAAACGAAATACCAAATTTACAGCTTGTGATATTTCATCAGCTATGTTTTAAATGCGCAGCCAAATAATGTTGCTAATGTTACCTGGTCTTCTGCACGTGTTTTTCCAATTACCATCACATATCAGCACTGTTGGATATATTCCACATTTCAAGCAACAAAAGTCGTATTGATAGTCTTGGAGAGCCAAAAAATGCAAGAACGCATTCCTGATCTTATTATAAGGAATAGTTTCGATGAACAACATTTTTAGATTGCTCTCGATTGAGATATGATTCTAAACAGTGGAATTAAAATTGTATTTTATAGTAGGCTATAACCTTGCAAACCATATTTGACCAGAACAAATAATGCAATACAACAAATATTTATGTGAATTTAGCACACGCCTTTGAGCTGCTTTGTCCATAATAGACCAGTAAACGGCAATAATCAATAACTCACTTTCAGTCCACGCAGTAAATAACAACACAACTTGAGACTCAATAAAACACTATTGTCAAAATTATGAAAACCTTCTTCATATTCTTGATATCTAACTTCCATTCCACATTCAGCACATTCCTTGATGAATAATTCAGTTGCTGTGCAAACATTTATAATAACTCGTAAAAATAGTTGTTAAGGAATAAAACATAGAAGCATGATTTAAATATCTGGGTATAATATCACAGGCTATTATCTAACGTTTCGACTTAGGCAAAGTTATTTGGTCGAAATACAAAATTCGTATTTTATACCAATAAGAAGTTTAAACCATACAATGACAAGCATTCATACTTTTCCAAATGTGGCCCATTCCATATGCTACTGTTCGTTTTTTATTCTTGATGCATAAATCCTCGTTGCACTTAAGACATTTTTGTTCAGAGGGAGTCAGCAAAAGCGGAGGAGAAATGTCACGCAAAAGACGCTGAGGTATTTCAGCTGGAATTCTTTTTTTTGTTAAAAAATACTTCATCATATAGTCCATATTATCAGTCAGTGTATGACAAATACTGTAAAAGATGTGAAGCATTGTAAATGAGAAATATCAGAAAATGCATCTTGCCAAAGCAAGTTCTACTATGTTAAAAAATACCTAATCCAAATATTTATAAAAAAATATTGAATAGGCTACAACAGAGGTGGCCAACCTACTTGCGACCGCGATCGACTAAAATCTAGTTTTCAGTCGTAAGTGTTGAATTTCTCAAAAAAAACTTGCTTAGTATCCATGTATTATCTAAATAGCAAAAAATAAATATTCGCAAACCATAACAGTTACATGATTGTTGAAACTTCCTGATATCCTCTTAGCTCGCCTAGAATTAGGAAAAATTGGCATTCTGATGCGACTGCTACAGTTGAGAATAAAATTTATCACACTACTCCCGGAGTGAGACAACTACTTTCCACAGAGCGCAAGAGTTATCGTACGATCCTACGTTAGTTCAGGCAATATTCAATACTCGATTCAGGCGACACGACATTCGGAACGCTCATTTTCTTACTTTTGGCAGCGGCAAAACTTTCTTTCGTTGCATATCGCATAATAATTTGTTCAGTCGGCCTCGCTTGGGTTCAAGGACTATATGTGTATATCGTATTTAGCGCGTGCGCAGTACTGCGTTATTTCTATTATAAAACACACAACATGCGCTGCATGAAACTGGTTAAACGCAATTTTTTAAGATATGTTACCGAATTTTCTAAACATCAGACGAGATCGACCACTCAGAACGTGGCGATCAAGCGGTCGATCAACGTGTTGGCCACCCCTGGGCTACAACATAAAAATGAAATAAAAAATTAGGCATTCAACCAATCTGTCCAATAAAACAAGGAAGCACACATGCTACTAAGTAATATTGCTGGTAGAAAGGAAAGATGAGGTGAATATTTTGGATTATATAACTAATACTACTGCAGAATATAATTCATTATAAAAGAAAATACACCTATTATGTATAAAAATGCTTTAAATAAACCTGGAAGGGCGCTTGATCCATTCAGGTTGTTGCTCCAATAAACACCACTTCGCTACAGCCTCATGGTAACATGTCGAACTCATGCCCGAGGTTGGACAAAGGCACGAAAATTCCCCATTATCTTTATTGAAAGAAACTCTTACCCTCTTCAATGGTGCAAAATATTGAATTTTTTCAGTGTAAACGGAAAAATAGATTGTTCTTGTTTCGAAACCCATTGTTGAAAAATCAACAAGGGCTACAAGAGTGCAGCAATCCTTTTCACTGATTTCCTTCATATTTTTGCACCATTGAACCGACGAATCATTCAATATATTAAATTCCCTTAGTCGGTTTAGCGATGACAGTTGCAGTTTGTTTGTCGTTAAAATTGAAGATTCAGAGATAGAGTCCAAATGTCGACATTGGATTCCTGGATTGACTGTTGAAATGGCTTTGATAATTGAAATACAGTCGTCATCAGTGCACATAATTTTTTGTTTCAATGTGTGCTTTTGAACATGAATTGGAGCAAGTGGGCCAGAATCACTTTGAGCAACCATATAGATTCCATTGAATGTGTCAACATATACGCTCGGTAAAAGCTGAGTTGCATTGTGTTTAAGTTGAGCATGTCGCCTCAATGACGACTGATGCCTAAAGCGCTTGTCACAAGGTATGCATTGAAAGTTGAAAGTACCTGTAAAGTAAAAGTATGTAAACGAACAAGGTCTAAAAATGTGAAAAAATATCGAAAAAAATGAATCATGTAAAAGTGGTAAAGAAATAGATACAAATCACAAAATTTCAATGCACGAGTTTTCTTGACATACAATAAACAATTATTTATGCTCTCATATCTATAAGCGGACACCAACTCAATACCTAATACTTGCTAAATATCCATTAGAACATCTTTCCAATCATTAGCTTACCTTCACATAGACTTTCTGAACTTTTGTTTTTAGAATCTATGTCCATATCCCTGACTTCTTCACTTTCAATCACACCCAAACAATCTACACAAAACATTGAAATTCCAAAGTTACTGTGTTATAGCTAGGTAGGTACTCTATTTGCAAGAAATAAGCCACAAAATAGTTTTAACCCTTACTCTTAGTAAGCCTCCTGTGGTCAATCATAGAATTTCTCCGTCCAAATATTTTTTCACAGGAGGGACAATGATAGTGACTCCTGGTCAAAGCACTTGTTCCTCGCTTCATACAATCTCTTTTACAAGGCATAATGAAAGCTAAAATATTTGAAGATATACCGACTTATAAAATGACCAGTAGGCTTGCACGTAATTGACAAAAATCAATTCCGTAATTACGGCAAAATCAATTACGTAATGACCCCGTAATTGCGATATTTTTCCACGCATTTAAACCTATCATAACAACCAATTGAATCCACTTCTTTTCCGAATGGGACATTGAAGTTGGGTTTTCATATTCTTGGCAGTACTACACGCCGGCGGTAGATGTTCAAGACAAATATCACGGAATGAATTCAAATTAATTTTATTCTGATTTTTATCTTTTGTGTTAGCTTTGGTTTTCCTTTATCACCTTCGCAAATTAACCGTCCCATTTTTATGCGATCAATTTTATTTTATCATTACCGACACTGGTATACGGATATTTATGAAAACGATAGTTTTTTAAAACCACATATAATCAAACGAGCGTATTCTCTCGTTTGATTATACTTGCGATTTCCTCGCGACGAAGACTTGTTTTTGCAGCGTCTTCTGCATTATCCGACATTAATGCCTTGTTAGCATTTTATAATGATAATTATTGATATCGACTTATTGACGATATTCCGATTACCATGCTTCATTTTACATTTAATCATTTCGCGGACTGAATGTTTATAACATTATTTGCGATAAATTTAGATCAAATATTATTTATTTGCGTATAATTTAAATACCGAACTTATATGATATGCCTTCTCCGAAAATACAAAGTTATATCGCAAAACAATGCATTTGTGACATTTATTTTACACTCACGACAGTTAATCATATATGGCCGAAATATTGAGAGGAATTGTAAAAAAATGAGCAAGGCCAAGTCCGGACTGATATATAACGATAAAACCGTTAACAGAACATCAAGATTTTGTAATAGAAAATGGATCTCGCACAGAATAAACACACTGGCTCATATTTGATTATATATGATAGCAGTTAAAGTTTTAGCGGTCCGCGAGGAATCCGTCGTTTTGCTGTTTCTCTGCCGTCTCAATCGCTTTACCGATGCCGAGAATGACGAAGTTGCGTTGGTTCATAACGCAATCTCTCTTTTGTCGTCATATTGCTATTTGATAAGCACGACATTAATTATCACGGCGAGGTATTGGCGCGAGTGATCAATCGCTCTTTTCGCTTATTTGGTTCTAATTCGTCGCGAAAGCTCTTCGTTAAATTTCACAAGATCGTCGTGTTGAAAGGTTATGGATATTTTCCTGTTTATACCCCAAGTCTGAGAAAAAACAGCCAAAAACAGTATGATATTCCATGTTCATATATCAAGTGTTGATATTAACAATAAAGAATGGTTAAGCATTGCTAATCCACACTTGGTGGGGAATTCCCCCTATTTAAACGCGTGACTATAAAATAGAAACGGAACATATATACCATAAGGAACGGAAAACTGGAACAAGTAAATAATAAATAAAAGTAAAATGGATACAAATGTTTGATAGACCATGTTTGAAAGATTGAACTCCTGCGTTCATTAGTCATTTCATCCGAAGAAGTTGAAACCGGGCGTGTTAGCGTCCATCGGTCTTAACACAATTCTTCCCCCTATCTACGGTTATTATGTACATTGGCCATGCTAGATAAGATGCGAGAGAAGTTGAAACCAGGTGTGTTGGCGTCAATCGGTCTCAACGCAATTTTATCGCTTATCTACGGTTAAGTTGTGGGAGAAGTTAAAACCAGGTGTGTTGGCGTCAAACGGCCCTACTCAGTTCTTCCCCCTTAACTACGTTAATAATTTACATTTGCCATGCCAGATAAGTTGATAATAGGTTAGTAAATGGCAACGCGTCATGCCTTCCTTCACCTACGTAACAAGAGAGAGAAAAGAGAAATAAACGGCTGCGAATACCGGAACTCTAACTTCTTCTACTTGTTGAGCTTTCATTTTTCGCAATCGACTGCTTTGAAGAAATCTCGTTTCAATGCAATAATTACGACTTTACGTAATTCGTAACTTCCCTTCCGTAACTCCAAATAATTACGTAATTCCGTAAATTCGTAAATTACGTGCAAGCCTAATGACCAGTCATCACAACGAAAATATTCAGTAATTATAGGCTGTACCAGTAATACTGTATACATACCTCTTTCATCCCCATTGATGATATGAACAGCATATTTGATATGTTGAGTTTTCAGGTGGTGTTGAAAGCCACCTGGTGTTGTAAATGATACTCCGATACATAGTATGCATTGGTAAAAATCATTGACTTTTATGCACAAATCATCAAAATTTTCTGATTTTGTCTTAAAATAAGTATCTGCCATTTATTACTTAATAAGGTGTTTCAAGATCTAAACATATATGAAGATACTGTAGATACTTCAGTACACATAGTCTACACAGCCAAATTAAAATATAATTCAACTTATCGTAGGCTACCTCGTGAATACTAGAAATTTGGAGATACAGAAATAGCGGCAGTAAGGTACTAGATTACCGCGTACCGCATTCTGGCATTACCCTACTGCTGTACTGGCAGACTATCTAGCTATCAAAAAGTCAGAGTGATTGTAAAAGGACAGAGGCTTGCATGGATAACAGCTCACAAATCTTACGACTCTGTAACTGAAATTACCAAAGTCGCAACGCACTAATGAGGCACATTGATACCATACTCACCTGCCATTATCCATAGTACAAAAACCCCAGATACTGCAACATACATGGTAATAAGGCATACCGGTAAATATTTTCCGAAGCTGCCCTGAAACCATGGCAAAGCTGCCGCGGTAACGGCAGTACTTTTTGCCATCGCCGCGGTATATACACACTTGCCACGGTTTGCTAATAACCATGGCAAGAGACGGCGTGGTACGTTCGTGGCAGGAGCTGCCATGAAGTGGTAAGAACTGCGCCTCAAATATTGGGTAAGTTGGAACGTTTTTCTTATGGATACAGTTTTGATGGATTTGGGGTTAGGGTTAGCGTTTAAGTAGATATAATTCCACATGATCAATTAAAATCTGGTACATTAATTTGTGAATATACCGTTAATACTGATTACTGAATACTGAATAGCGCTATAAAACCATGGCAAGAGCTGCCGCGGTTCGTTCGTGGCAGGAGCTGCCATGAAGTGGTAAGAACTGCGCCTCCCACGCAGAGTAATTAGAGGTGCGGTGGCGAGCGTATTCCTAACGCTTAGCCCGTTTGAGCCACACCGCCGCGCTTGATACCTGACTCGTGTCTCCGCTGAAGGAAATTCACGATAAAAGGGGATTTCCATAATTATCCCAAGTTAAAAAATCCTAAAGGACGACAAATAAGCCGATAATCATGTGCCGAACAACGTCTCCCGGATAGTAATCCACGTAAAGTATAGGAATAGGAGTAGTCAACCACCGGACTAATACCCCACGACTTGGTCACCCTGTGCGTTCGGGTACGGTTTAAATACTTTCATCGCCTTTTAAGCTGATAAGGAATAAAGGTAGAAAATAGAATCTATTACAAACCATTTAACCGTATTCAGAACTCAGGTGATCACTGACGATTCTTATGGCGACGGTATTACCATCAGGGGCGATAGAGATACCCAGTGATGTTTTTGAACGAGTTCGCCGATTTAGCTTTAGTGAAATATTACCGGCATCTGTTAGAATACCGGTACCGGTACTGCCCAAATTATCAACTTGGCAAGCGAATTTGTTAGAAAAATATTTTGTATCTGACAAAGCATTAAAATACGAAAATAACACACATCCGAAATGCTGTCATCTTCCTGGTTAGTAGATGACTGCCGGTACCAGGAAACTGGGAAAAAAAAAGGGGACTGGTATAGTTTGGTATCGGTACCGTACTGCCGTACGGTACCGAACCACATGCACTTCTAGTTGGCCTGGCTCAACTATTTTTGCATATGTCAATCCTAACCCCTACCTGACTACATCACCGAAAAATTATCTTATTTCGACGTCACAGTGGCGTAATAAGGCCCACATAAGTATGCGGAAGGTAGTCCAAAACGCGCAGACGATCATCCGAAATCGAGCGAGCCATTTCTCTCTTTTTTTCGTCACAACGATCCCAATAGGAGAGAGACCGCCGGCGTCAGCGAGTTAGTTATCAGCGGCGCAGATGCCATTTCGGGCGATCGTAATTATACTTTGACAAGCCTTATGACGTGATGATGACGTCGTAGTGACTTACCTAATTTTCGGATGGCATAGTCAGGTGGGGGTTAGGAATAACATATGCAAAATTCGTTATGCTATGCCCAATGGAAGTACTTGTGGTACCAAACTATACTAGACCCAAGAAAAGTTATCATCAAGTAATTAATTCCATGCTAACGCTTGATATTTGGTCACAAGATTGAAGGTATAATATTTCAATAGTTCTAAATCAAATATATAAAATATTTGTTACTGCAAGAAGGTTTACAACTTGCAGACATAGGCTAGGTTGTGGTACAGAATATAATGGAAATGCAGTTTGTTTTTTCGCCCCAAACCTTAATACAGAAATAACAATTTTTATTGAATTGTATACCAATCGAAATCCCATGGGGTGTGATGAGACGAAAAAATATGTCCAATGGACAAGCTTGGTTTTTGGGTAGTATGGATCAAATGTGCATGAAATGTAAAACTTATACCTGTATACGGTAGACTTGTCGTAATTTAATGTTAATAAATCAATATTTCTTTTCAATGCTCCATGATTTGTATCAATAAAAGTGATTGCGTCGAGAGTTTGAAAACAAGAAGTTCAAGATATATTTCTTATCATTATTCTCTCCATTCCAGGACTATGGAGGTTTCCTAAACTGCTTTCAACTCAGCCTGGAGCACATATCAAAAAAAATTTGATTGAAATGAATAAAGCTGCTGGACACAGACTCTACTCTAGTCTTGGGTATGTAAGAGGTTTTAAATCAAGATTTTCTAACTCATGTTTTCACTCTTTGTATTTGTGACATTCCAAGACAAACACTTGGAACTAAATAATTAATGCAATGAAAACAAAATAAAATTTAAATGGTTTGAAGTAAATTTGTCCAAAATGTTTTGGCTGAAACAACTAAATCAATCGGATCAATAACCTTGCAATTAATGTGAATTTCTTTCTTTTCTCCCGTTTTAGGTTCTGTACTGTTATTGTCCAACCTTACTTTTCCTATTCTAATCTATCATAGTTGGGTCTGATTCAGGATATTGAAATTTTGAATATGAAAACCTTGCATTCATATACTTTTTTGGGGTGCTATCATATTATTGGCCCACCAGTGAGCTAATCCTAAGTAAGGATTAGTTAGATAAGGCAATAGCAAGACATTACACACTGCGGTAATGGACTGGTTTGAACTTCTAGATCAGCCCTAATCAGCCTAGTATCAAGCGAATGTTTCATGGGTGCTTGTCTAATGTCTTGCTTAGAGTTCAGAAATAAAAACCTTGATCAAATCAAAAGTTTTTGCATTCTGCATGAAATAAATTGCAGGTACTCTTCTAGTATGTTCTGGTGTCCGCCATCTTGGTTCGCATACTACAGGAGTACCAAATTGCACTGTAAATAAATTGCATAAAATCCCATGTGGTAAATAAATTTGCATTTTTTATTTCAAGGTAGGAAGAATATATTGCGATCCGATCTCTCCAACATGAAAACGATGAATTGCGACAAAGTTTGACCGACCACCAGAACGCATTGGAACTTATCATGACCAAGTACAGACAGCAGATGATGAAGTTTACCGAATGAGTACCAAAAGTATCAACATTTTTCAAAATTCCAGGGTTAGGAAAGTTAATTGTTTTACTAATTTTTAAAGGTTTATTAAAATACCATGTATCCAAAGCAAATAAGTAAACTTGCTAACTAATCCCATACCTGACATGGAGTGGGACTCCATATGCCTAAGCCACCTAATCGACTTTCCTCTCCCTCATGATAAAAATAATATTTCATCCCTTATATTAGCAATCCTACTCAAGATAAAGTTACAAGACAAATTATTGGATTAGGAAAATGCTCTTTACCAGGGGTGGGTAGGTTTTAGGACCAGATGCCAAAAAGCAAAAGTGAAAAACCATGAGCCTTGTTCCAAAACTAAATTTAATTGCAATCTCAACAAAATCCTTGAGCTATTTTTAGCTAAAAAAATCAGAATTTGGGCTGTGGCAATATAAGGCAGGCAAGATTGAATTACCCAACGGCCAGATTTAGCCCACAGGCCATGGTTTGCCCATGTCTGCTCTTAACCATAAGAGTTGCCCTTTTCTTCTCAGCAAATATGAACTTGAATAATCTTCTGAATTTAACCCTTTGTAGTTTATGAGATTTGGAAAATTTGAGCAGAATTTGGCGGCTTCATTTGTGTTCCAATCTCTAAAAATAATTCAAAAAATTAGAATTTTTTTAAGAATATTTGCTCAAAGCAAGTCGCAAAAATTGTTATGTTGCGACCACTTGAAGTACTTTAGGCTCGAAACCACTCTAGACCCTATCATGGAGACTTTCGACTTTTTCACTGTTTAAGATTTTGATATTTATTCTACAGTATTGAACTTTCGGGCTGTTAATAAGAGTACAACAGCTTGAAAGTTCAATATTATCGTGTATTTTGTTCCTTCAATTATTGCCCAAGCCTCGTTTAATTGGGTTTGTGTGTGTGCTGGTTGGCAGGCGCATGTTTTAAACTTCTTTATAGGTTTTACTTGCTCTCCAGAATTCTCCATTTTTAATTTGTGTGTATCATTAAGTTTTTAAAATAAACTAAACGATTCCCGGGGGCAGGAAAAGTTCATAAGAGGACTTAATCACATGGCGAACCACAGTCTCTCGTCTCGTTACCAGTACATGTTGGGTGAGGGATTAGTTAACCAGTTTATTTAGGATGCATGGACTTAATGACTAAAAAAGCCGTAACCGACCAGCGGTCACATGAGCCACCCTGTTCCTTTAAATATAAAAATATGGACTCTTTGCTATCATATGGATGTTCATGTGAAGGCTGGTTTGTTACTGCTTTCTCCAATGTCCAAGTGTGCGCCTAATATATTCTTATTGTTGTGCACAAGTCACACTCCAGCTTTTTCTACACTTCAAGTAGTTTATAATGTCATAGCTAATCAAATCAGTAATATAGTAATAATAAAGAGTTCCGCACCAAATTCAGAAAATTCCACTTTGGTTGGGAAAAGTGGCTCCATAGTATTTTGAATTGTTTTAAACTTCTCAGGGCCCTGGATACACAATAGTTAACTAATGATTTTCAATCTTATTTTCTGGTTAGACTCTTAAGAATATTTAAATGCACAGATCATAAAAATATTGTCCACGTCAGTAATGCTGAATGCGTCATATCAGAAATATTTTAAATTCAAAAAAGTAGCGTTTATGTGGGCTACACTGCAACAATCAAACTTATCAATGCTCTCTAACATACACTTCCAAATAATTTAATTTCATCTATTATCCCAGAATCATGACAGCGCTGCTGAAAGTCTTGTCGAACAGGCTTCAACTCTCAAGAAAGAGATGGAGGCGAGAAACACATATCAAGTAAATTTGATTGAACTGAACAAAGTTGCTGGACACAGACCAAGGTCTACTTTAGTCTTAGGTACGACAAATTTTTACAAGAATCAGTACTAGCTTTGCTCATGTTTTTAATGTGATATTTATTCTTATTATCTTAACTTGCCTGTATGATATTTCCGGACATAAATTGATCGTTTTCTATTTTGTACCAAACTCTGCATGAACAGAAAAATTCAATTTGAAATTAATTAAGAACTAGTCTAAAATTAGTGGTTATTTTAGATCAAGGGTGCGCAATAGGAAGCCTGTGGGCCACAACCCGGCCCACCAAGCCGTTCAGTGTGGCCCTCGTCAACGCTCGGATTCTCTCCATCAAGCATAAAATCCGAAACCAATAGTTTATGTTTAAAAAAACGCTCATGTGGATAAAAATACATCTTTTCGCTGCGTTAAATCTTTGCTGTTTTGCCGGTGCCTTTAATACTGTGAGGCTGAGCAACAGTCATATTATCTTCTCTTGCTTTTTCGCATGAATAAACTAATTTTTGGTGTGGCCCGGCTAACTGTATGAAGTTGGGTATATGGCCAACCGACAAAAAATGTTGCAGGCCTTCGCTTTAAAAGGTATAAGTTTTGAAGAGAAAAAATATAAATATTGATCCAAAATTGTAAATAATAATCAAATGTAAATCTCAAATAATAGTTCTGATGAAAACAAAATTATGTTTGCCAAATTCCTATTTTTATCTTGAAGGTATTCAGCAAGAAAATAATGCAATTCGGTCCCTACAACATGAAAACAATGAATTGCGACAAAGTTTGACCGAACACCAGAACACATTGGAACTTATCATGACCAAGTACAGACAGCAGATGATGAAATTTACTAAGCACCAAAAGTATGTGGATCTTGTCAATGTATTTCATAATCTCAGGGAGAGGAAAGTCTATTGTTTTACTATAAAATGGCTGTATTATTACTAATAAACATTTAATTGAAGTTTCAGTCTTTCAGAATACCTTATGGTTCTAATACGAACAATCCTATTTCCGGTAGAAATGGCAAATATTAAGGTTTTATCCTAGGTTTTGGCCAGTTCAGTGCAGCGGCTCCAAAAGTTTACATTCAAATACGACAGTCTATATAATATATGTCCAGGGTGTCCATGAATTCCCTTTACAATTTCAATTTTGTTATGAGGTCAGTTCTCTTAACCATTTTTTTTTTCAAATCGGTAATTGTTTAAGTATTTTTACTTCATTTAGTACATCTGTGAGGGCCGAAACAATATATGGTATCAATAAATTTCTTCCCAATTTTGGAAAATTTTACGACTTTATGGACACCCTATATATTGTTTGAATAATATCGAATACTTGTACTTGCATTTAGAACAAATATACTTAAATTGGGTTTTAACATTATTATCAGACCTGCTACACTTTGAATTTACTGTGTTTTGCAAGTATTAGTGTTAAGTATTGTACTGGGGTACCTTGAGCCTATAGAATGTTCCAATGGGGTTCCACTCCACCAAAAAGGTTGAGAACCAGTGGATTAGGCTATTATTGGATGCGACAATTTAAAAGCTAAGAAGAAACACATTATAGCATGGGGTGTGCAACCTTTAATACAGGAGGTCCAGATAGAAATAACTGGGCGAAACCTGTTACGGCATTGTAAAGTCGTAGGCATGTATAAACTAGACTCAGATATAGGCTTCGCAACACACAGGGGTTGGAATTACTCGCACGTACCAAGTTGAATTTTATTGAAAACTGATTTCGTGGCCCGTACACATTCAAAATTGCCCTCTTGTGGGCCGCATTTGGCCCACGGGCCAGTCGCAGGTTGCACACCCCTGCATTATAGTATTTGTAAATTAATATTAAAAATCAAAAGCCCGTATAGCTGAATAATTTTCACGATGAATAATTATGAAGTTTTACTTGGATTCAAATATTTCTACAAAATCCATGACTTGGCAGCATTTATAATTATTTTTATATCTTTCATTTTTAGCATCCAGATCACTGAAAATGCTTATCAAGCAGAAAAACAATATCAAGAAGAGAATATGGAGCTCATTGATAAGGTAACGAGACCAAGGTTATTCTAGTCTACAGTTAGGTTGTAGTGCTTGGTTATGCCATCCCACAATATTGGTTACCCTGGCCCACAATGCTGGTCCCACGTTTCAGTTTAGTGCAAATTTGATTATGGGGATTGGTTTTGATGTAAAACTAAGAACATGTTATTAGTCCCACAACTAAATTCGTTAGGTATATCCTCCGTAATTGCTGTAAATATATGCACGATTAACCCTCTGACTTCCACAAAATGGCAATTTGTGGGAGTAACCTTGCGTAACATTGAGCATTTATATGTATAATCTTAGAGTAGAAACAGTGTGTACCAATATGGAGGTAACTAATGTTGTTTGCCTACTTTACATCAAGTTGTGTAAAGGGAATGAAAGTTATGGGCAGGGGGTATATTCACTTGGCTAACACAGACAGTCCCCGAACTCATAATAGAACTAAAATAAGGAAAATCGGAATTATGCCTAACCCTAACCTTGGTACACACACTACTGGGAGTATCAAAATAAGCATCCCTGATTAATTAAGTTCAGTTTATTATATATTTGCCACTGATATCCAACAATATGTAATTGGCTGCTAACTTATTGTTGAAGGCTGGAAACCTTTCTTTATCGGGCATTCTGTCATTAGTAATGCTGGAGGTTTGACAATAATTATTCAAGCAATATACCTCATCCACATGGTGGCACCAAAGGTTCAAGTTATTTCAAAACAAAAAGACATTGAATTATCTTTACATGTTCAGATCCACGAGATGGTTGCTGTGATGAGGCATGCTGCGGATGTTGATGATGAGCAATATCTCAGAGATTACGAAGAATTATCCCGATTGGAAACAGAAAATGGCATTTTAGGGGAAAATGCTGATGATATCTAAGAGTTCATTTGGATCAAGACTTATAACCACTGAACAGAAAGATTCTGGAAAGACTGACAAACCAGAGAATGAATCTGAAATGGTGCTCACTGACGATACTACTAGTGATAAGACAGTTATACATGAGGGGGAATCCCCCTAAGACTACTCCCCAGACAATTATTATATTACAATATGGAGGAAGTTTATTTTGCTTCGAAGGTACTCTGTAGTATGTGTGCCAGGTTCATAATTTCGATTTTCTATATCATAGTTCTATTACGAGTTCAGGACGTCTGTGTTAGCCAAGTGAATATACCCTCTGCCCGTAGGTTCCGGTCCCTTTGCACAACTTGTTGTAAAGTAGACGAAAAAAATTAGTTACCTCCATATTGGTACACATACTTCCGGTGCCCCTTGCTCTTGTTATTCTTGTGTTTCTATCGAAACTCAGTACTGAGAAAATATGTGGTTCATATATGTGGTTTCCTTTTATAAAATCAGTTTTATAGATTTAAAAATATATATGAAAAGAACTATAACGCCATAACAAACAATCTTGATTAGCTTATAATCATTAGTCGGCCAAGGAATCGTGTGCTTGAGGATGCCGAAATATAATGTCTGGAAAGTCCGGACCCAAATATTTTTGAAGTTTTGTATGCGGACCTCCGGTAAAAATAGTTGAGTAGCCCTGGTCTATTTTATTATTAATACACGGATATAATAAGTGTGTTTCATGAGAGACTTTCATTTTCTCTACATTAAGAGGTAAGGACAATTCCGCCCGACCGAGCCTGACTAAATTAATTGGATTTGCAGGCCCCGAGCCTGAAGCAAACCCGAAATTTCATATTTTAATCAGGAGATCTTCTGAATTTGTCATTGCAAGAGTGTAGTGTTGATGAGGCAACTTCTGCCTTTTTGCAGACCACGGTCTCTCGTGGCCATAACGCCCCATTTAAAAAAAAGTAGCGATAGAATAGCCAGACCCGGCTCGAATTTCGGGTTCTGGCTTCAGATCTTAGCTCTACTCTACATCAAATTTCCGTTTCACATTTTTTTGATTGGCATATTATAATGTATATTCAGTTACACAGGGGTTCTTAAGCCTTGGAAATGTTTATTTGGGTTCCTCTCCTCCGTAAAGGTTGAAAAATCTTTGCTCTAGACAAGAAGAACTCGAAAGAGGTTCTGGTTGTCACTCAAATGAACACATTATTTCCAATGTCAATTCTGATGTTTCCAAATTCCACAACTTGAGCATTTGATGATACAT